CTCCCTTTCCACAGCTCGAGCCTCGAGGCCCCCCTCAGCGCTCGGCGTCTCCTGGCCTTACCCGCTGCGGCCAAAATCCAGTCCAATATTCATCCCCTTTGGCAGTTGACATGTGCGTGCTGTCGACCCATATCAGCATGTCTGGACTCAGCTGCCATGGCCATACAGTAGCGACTGTGTGTTTCCGTACTTACGTACCAATTCCTTTGGACGTCGTTGTAGCCGGTCTTTCAGGGTCTGCTTCAATGTCCAGGGGTCTCGAGCATTAGTGCATAGAATACCAGGGGACTCGAAGGGCAATCCGAGACCAGTCATCGTCATCCAGCGTCTGGAGCGAGACAACGAGACTGTCGCGAGGGCCAGTCGGCGAGGTCGCAGCCTCGTCAGCCCAGTCAGGCAGAGGGGCAGATGAAGCTGATGGAGTCCGAGTGAAGCTCACGCAAACACGACATGGTACGATGCAGGCAGGGCTGCTTGCCGCATGTGCGTCGCTGTCGCTGTCGCTGTCGCTGTTGCTGCATCATCCAGTCGCCCCGAGCTCATCCCGTCCCATCCATCCATCCATCCATCAGTCACCTCCCGTGCCCCCATCCCTCCCGTGGTTCCGTTCCGTCCCATTTCGCTCAGTCACCAAGTTGCAGCAGAGAAAAGGATGCGAAAAATAGCACAGGCCCCCCTTCATTCACACGACAATCCTCCTGGCTCTAGATCTGCCCCTCCTGCAGGCGGCAACCTTTTCTCAACCTCAGCAAGCAGAAAAGTCTGGTGCACAGTCAGACACGAGAAGACGACGGCGACGAAGACGAGGACAAGTTAGACTCTGATCCGTGCCTCTGTTTGAGTTGAGTTGAGTTGAGTTAGACTGCAACAGGCTGGGGGGTTAGTTTCTTCTCAGCGTCCAATTTGACGCCAAGACCAGGCGCCGCCCACACTCATCTCCCGCCTTTAAATTATCATCACCGCCGTCGCCGTCCCCGAAGCCCGTCCGCCTGCTGCTGCATAAACATTTCCCGTCCCAAAATAAAGCGGCAGACAAGTGAAGCCGGCAGAAGAAGTAGACACCTCTCTTGTCAACCCTACAAAGCAGCGTTAAGGGACACTCACGGAGCCCGGAGGTCCCTCTGCTTCTCGTTGTTTCGCTGCTTCGCATGGCAATCGCCGCTCACTGCTTCGGCGGAACAGCACAGCACAGCCCCAGCCGGCTGACGACTCGTTTTTGCCATTGGAACAAACACCCTGCCGTGTCCTGTTCAGCCACCAACTGCGATCAGTTACCTACGTGCCTAGCTGGTCATCTGCATCATTATCAGCAGCAGCAGCAGCAGCAGCAGTTGCCGAGTGATTCCAAGCAGGCCAGCTAAGGGTTCTCGCTCCAGAAACAGAGGCCGACACCCCGGCTTTCAGTCGCAACAGCACACTTGGGAGACTAGGGAAGGACGGCAAAGAACGAAACAAACACAAGAAAACAATAATCAGGCACCAAGTTCAACTTCCTGGTTTCTTTTTTCTCCTGGGCCTCGACTCTGACCTCATCCAATCCCTCCCGTCCGTGGTTCCCGCGCCCTGCGTCGCCTCGGACGCCTCATCACCAGCAAAACGAACCAACCAGCCAAGCCGCTCGTCCCAAGACTGTAGTCATTCTTTCCAGGCACGGAATACGCAGCACACACACTCTCCTCAGGCACACACCCACATATATACATACATACACACACACGAATACCAACGAATCGAATACGGACAGTCTCGTGTGTACGTTGTCCATTCGTCGATTTTCTCATTCAGCCCGTCGTCGTCGTCTGTCGTTTCAACTTTTACCAAACGCACACGCCCCCAACCACCCGAGCCGTCTGCAGCGTCGATCACCTCTTACTCAGATCGCCCAACCACGCCAACATTTCATCCTCGCTCTGATTCTCCTCAGGTACCGGTATCCGGACCTCCACCATCATCGCAAACTCTAGACGGCTCCGGCCCACACCAGCTCGCGACCTGTGACGGTGACAGCGCCAGCTCCCTGGTCACCCCGGCCACCCGTCTCCGCCCTCAGCAGTCCACGTCCACGTCCACCCCCGCCGCCGCTGGGCCCATTTCGCGGCACTTGGGAGCTGAGGTGCCTATCCTATTTGTTCCCTGTGCCTTGTGCCTTGTGGTTAGGACCTTGGGCAGAGATAATTTGGAGTGGGCTGTGAACGCTCCCGCCTCACATCACCTCCTCGTCTTGGCTCAGCCACCCTTTTCAACCACTCACTCACTCACATACACCAACACCACCCGACAATACAATACAATACAATCCAACGCGCACGCCCTGCTTGCATACGTACGCGCGCACTTACACACACCACCACCACATCTCAGCTCATCCTCCCGACCTGCACTCCGTCACACTGTTCACACAGGAACAAAACCCGCCCACATCCCTCCCGTCTGGCCCTGCGGAAAATCCATCCCTCTTCAGAATGGCCGCCCAGATCGAGGCGAGGTCTCTGGCCTCGCTCAACTACCTGGCCGCCAATCCGCCCCAATACCCTCACAACCCAGCCGGCGAGCGCCAGGAACCGTTAACTCTCTACATTTCACGCGTGCCGGGAACCAGAGGTATGTTTTGGTCTTCATTTCATTATTCTTCGCATTTGCATCACAAAACAAAAGTCTAATGAGCGCAACTAACCCCCCGCCCAGACGTAATTCTCACCACGTCAAAACCACACCTCAAAAACGTCACCAGCGAAGACGTCGCAAACTCCTTCTACTACATCCACCTCGAGCTCCCCGGCGAGGGAAACCGACCGTACGAGGTCGGCCACCAGCAGCCTCAGCAACACCTCCGCAACCCAGACACGCCCAGGTCCAGCATCGACAGCACCCGCAGCGCCAACCAGATCCGCCGCAAACCCCTGCCCTCCACCGCAAAAGTCCCCTCGCCACCTGCCGAGCCCGCCCGATCCTACCCCCTCCCCGGATCCCACCCCGCCGCCGGCGGCTACGGCACCGCATACGACCAGATCCGCCCCGATGACCTCCCCGACGCCCGCCCGGATCTGCCTCCTCGGCCCTTGTACTACTCACCCCCGGCCCCGGTCCGCAAACCCGTCGGCCCCCGAGCCATCCCGACCCCGGCCCCGGATCACCACGACGTTCTCTGCCCTTCAGACACCTTCCGCCCATCGCCGTCGGGGTCACCCTCGCGTATGCCGCAGGAGCCATCCTACCGCTCAACCTCGCGCCAGTCGACATCCACGCCTCACCAGCACCACGTCCGCCAGCTCTCCCGCTCCCCGTCGCCGAACCGCTTCCACAACACCACCGCCGTGCCCTTCACCCTCTCCCTCATCCGCCGCGACCCGAGCACCGGCAACCAGTGGAACATTGGCCGCGTCTCCTCCCACCAGCTCGAGGACTCGGGCGAGGACTACGAGTACTTCTCCTTCGACTCCGCCGGCCTCTCCGCCCACGACCGCCGCCGCGCCAACGCCCCCCAACCCCCCATCAGCATCCGCCTCGAGTCGTCCGGCTACGCAAAGTTCCGCCACATGCCCCTCCGCCAGAGCCTCGACATGCCCCGCGCCTCCACCTCCTCCGTCGCGCCCCCGCCCTTTGCCAACTCGGAGGACGCCCTCAACTGGCACGCCCAGCAGCAGATGCTGCAGCAGCAGATGCAGATGCAACAGCCCCCCTCGGAAGGCGGCTTCAACAGGCAGGTCGTGATGGCCTACGCGAAATCCTGGACGACCAACATCCGTGAAAAGTTCAACTCGCGCTCGCGGTCGAGCAGCGTCGTCGACGAGCCGTATGGCAGCCCCCCGCCCCCGCGCTCGAACCGCCACTCGCGCCAGCTGAGCGCGCACTCCACGGGCTCCATGTCCTCCAACGGCAGCGACTCGGGCCCCATCATCACTCAGCCGGGCCACGGCCTGCGGCCCCGCGGCTACGTGTTCGTGTCACCGTGGGACGGCCGCTGCGAGTTCCGCACCGGCAACGCCGGCCGCAGCGTCAAGTGCCGCCACGTCCTCCCCACCGCCGGCGGCGGCCAAAGCAACCCGCTCGCGCCCTCGGGCACGTCCAACTCGGCGCCCGTCAGCGAGCTGCGCTTCAACCTGCCGACGACTGAGCTGTTCAAGCAGGAGGGCAAGCGGGAGCAGCTCAGCGGCCACTTTAGCAAGCTGCTCAACATTGGCAAGCCCGGCGAGTATAGCGACGACGAGGACGTGCCTAGCCCGTTCGACCTCCGGCTCGGGCGGGAGAAGGCGGGCGGTGGCAACCGCGGAAAGAGGGCCAAGCTGGGCAAGCTGATTATTTATCCGGAAGGCCTGAAGATGCTGGATCTCGTCATTGCCGCCAATATGGGTATCTGGTGGGGAGCGTGGGAAAAGAGTTTCTGAGGCGTTCTTGCGTGTCTTTTGACTGGTTTTGATGGACCATGATGATGAAGAAAAATGTGGTGATTTTGACGAGACTCTGGATTCATGGTAGCGCTACGTCAAAAAGGAAGGGGGTGGTTTGGCTTGATTTAAGCAAGGCGTTGACTGGATATGCCCTCTACATGGCTAACACCCACGAGTGTGATCATCAGCCGTGGCTATATGCGAGACACATTAATTATAATCTTCCCACGTCGAATCTTCCACATGCAAGAGTGACTGTGACTCCGCCCGCAATGATTCGGAGCAAAAGGTGTGGCGGCCACTTACGGCCACATGTGTTCGTACTTGCCCTCTCATCACACCAGACAGCGAGACATGATACGGCGTTACAACGGACAAAGAAAAGGTTGCTTTTACCGAGATATTTACACAAGTCTAAAAGATCCCGACCTGTCTGTAGTACACATACACAGCACGCCAGAACCTCGCCACCGCTGTTGCTGCCGCCGCAGACGCCGCCCCTGCTGTTGCTCTGCGCCGCTCTCTTTCTGCTCATGTCCCTCTCAAGCATTAACCCGCAAAGAAAAATGATGCTCGTTTCCTCTCCAAGACTCCCTTGCCAATCGATCCTTTTTATCTGTAGGGGGCGTCGGCACGGATGACGGCGGCCAGCTCGGGCTCCCACTTGTCGCCGTTCGACAACAACTTCTCCTTGTTGTACAGCAGCTCCTCACGGGTCTCGGTGGCGTACTCGGCGTTGGGCGACTCGACGATGGCGTCGACGGGGCACGATTCCTGGCAGAAGCCGCAGTAGATGCACTTGGTCATGTCGATGTCGTAACGGGTGGTGCGGCGGGAGCCGTCGGCACGCTCCTCGGCCTCGATGGTGATGGCCTGGGCGGGGCAGATGGCTTCGCAGAGCTTGCAGGCGATGCAGCGCTCCTCGCCGGACGGGTAGCGGCGGAGGGCGTGCTCGCCACGGAAGCGGGGAGAGATGGGGCCCTGGGGTTTGATGTTAGCTTCGATATTTCGCGATATTTTGATTCCCCCTTGTGGTTGCTCGAACGCTCGCCCCTTCGTCCTTCATGACTGCGTGACTGTCGGGTGTCGCAACGAGGTCAATTCCGACCCCGGCTGCTGTTCCGTGGCTCCCTTCCGCATTTCCATTTCTCGTCCCGTCATTTCCCGCGCCAGAATACTCCCAACGCCCTCCCAAGCCAAAAGAAACAAGAAGTCGACCCACCTTCTCAAAGGGATAGTAAATGGTGTAGGGCGGGCGGAAGAACTGCTCCATGAGCACGTACATTCCCCTTGCCATCTCGGACAGCAGGAAAAATCTGCCCATCTTGTTGAGGGTAGACTCCTTGTCCTCGTCCCACGTCTCGAATCTCTTCTGGCGGAAGTTCGTCGGCGGGGGGCCAGAGGGGGTGGCGTAATTGCGGACGGCGTTGGCGGCCATGAGGCGGTTGACCAGGACGGCCGACGAGTTTCTCGCGGCCGGCCTCGACGCTGCGAGGAACATTGTGACGGGAAGCTGCGCCGCGGGAGGCATTGTCGGAGACTGTGTGATTCTCGATTCGACGTGGAGGGTGTGCGACGGCTCCAATTGACCGGGCAGGCGGCAGGTCGAAGGGGGGGTGATCGAGGATCGCGGGGTGTCGGGAGGCGACGTGCAATTGAGGAAGTTGCGGTTGTTCGGGTGTTGAGCTTGACGTTTACTGGGACATTTGCCCGGCACTGGGCTGGGGGGGACGAGCTTTGGTGCGGGATTACAAAGAGCGGGAATTGATTGGCTGGAGGTGGGTCACGTGGCTTCTGAACATCTGCCATGTCGGAAGGAAGGAAGCATCATCATGATGAAGGCAGTGGCGACCGGCGCCTGCTCCTCAATTGGTCTCGAAAATTTGCATGAGACTTTTCATAGTATCACACACTTACTATCGAGTCCTGCAGTCTTCAAAGCTTTGCGAGAGACGACCATCGCGCAAATTAAGAATTTCCAGCGAATCACATGACCGGTCACGTGGTCGAGATCGGAGCTAGCCAGGGAACGCCTCGGGGTGACGAGAAATTTATCATCATGGCAATGACCTCCTCCACCACCCCCAGAGCTCCCATCAGACCAGCCTAGCTGCCACCCCCGAACGAACCATCTCGCATCCCCCCAACCCGACGCCAGAGCTCTCGCAAAGCTTCGCCTTCCTCGACCCGTCCGTCTCCCTCGACCACAAACCAAAACCATGTTCCGCACAGCAGTCCTCCGTTCCGCGGCCGCCGCCTCGCGCGCCATCCGTCCCGCCGTCCAGCAGTCCGCTCCCCTCGCCCGCAGCTCTCTCGTCGCGCCCCGTGCCGCCTTCGCCCGCGCCGCCCCCAAGGCCGTCTCCGTCCGCTTCTACTCTGCCGCTACTGGCCTGAACAAGGACGAGGTTGAGGGCCGCATCTTTGCTCTGCTCCAGGGCTTCGACAAGGTCAACGACCCTGCCAACGTACGTTGCCCCTCCTGCCATCACCACCATCACCACCACCACCACCCGTCAAGACCGACCCAATTGGGTCGCGCGGGAGCTTCCAGACACAGAGCTGACACTCATTCTTGCCTTTGCACAGATCAAGTCCACTGCCCACTTCGCCAACGACCTCGGCCTCGACAGCTTGGACACCGTCGAGGTCGTCATGGCCATTGAGGAGGAGTTCAGCATCGAGATCCCCGACAAGGACGCCGACACCATCCACTCGAGTTCGTAGCACCGCATCCCCCGTTGTCGCCGCAGCTGGCACCCGTTAGGAAGAATATACTAACCCCGCCGAAACAGTCGACAAGGCCGTCGAGTACATCCTCAGCCAACCCGATGCTCACTAAATCCAAACAAAAAAACAATCACTCTTCTCCGCTAAACCCGTCTCCCCGGCGGTCTGTACAATTTTAGCCCTGCCCCCGACATCGACATCGCCACTCGCAACATAGAACCGGGAGGGGGGTGACTTACATGAGAGAGATGCGGCGTCTGTGGCTCTTTCAGCTTATGAAGGGACGAAGGGAAAAGAGAGCCGGAGGGCTTTACTTTGGCCGCGATGGGGTGGACGGTTCGGTATGGTAGCCCATAACGCGGTGCTTCTCCCGCGCCTCGAACGGCAATGCGACGCTGCTCTGCATGTTTGATCATGTCTGGAGCCCGCCCGCGTGGCCTTGTATTAGTGTATAGAATTTGTTCGTCAACATTGGGAGCCCCTAGTGATTTGTCTGTCCTGCAAAAAAAGGCGCCGCTGTCCTTCACGTCAGGTGTTATCTCTCCAAGTCTGATCGGTAAAGTTCGGTATTGGTCACTTGGGCAAGCCGAGGGTTATGTACGTTTCGTGACGAACATTCCTAGAATCCCGAGCACGGCCATCACTACTTGTTTGCTAGGTGAAACCAATCTGATAAGATACAACGACAACAGCTTTTGTATATAGTGGACGATAATTAGACGGTGGTATCAGCTTTTCCTCTTCCAAACGTCTCTAATGCGGTGCCGAGTCACACAGCCTGCCGACCCGTGACGAGTAGACGCTGGCCATGTTCTATTCCACTTTCAGAAAATCCAAGAAAAATAACGACTCGCAAATGCATGTGCCAACCTAGCCTAACCCTCCATCATCTTATTTTAACCTCCCCGTTCCCCACGTCAAATCAAGCATGTACGGCCTCCCTATACAATCATTCCCTGAAGACATATCCAAGAAACCCAGTCTCGACCTGGCCTTGGAGGTTATGCTTCCCATCAGTCAAAGCCAATATATCCTCCATTTTAGATTTTAGTAACGAGCGAAAGCAGAACGGCCCGGTGCAGAGCTACTGCCGCCGGGCACATCCATCCTATTACAACCTCCGAGATCCAATCCGTGTAAGCCTAGAAGAAGGAGGGGGGTAAAGAGACGATAAAACTCCAGCAAACTCCCTGCCCTGTTGTTGTGTAAACAGCCACCCCGTAGATTCCGATCCCTTGCTATGTCCCTTGATTTTTGAAGACCGGTTATTTTCGTTTTCCGATGGCGATTTTTATGCCAATGCATGCTATGAAAGTCGTGGCTGAAATTTGAGTCGTAGAGTGTCGTCAGGGTGTGGAAGGGTCAAGAGCAGACCCGGGGCGCCACCGAGTGGGATGGCGTTCCATCCGTCGCTATGCATTTCTCCCGGGTGTTGTTGTCCACGTCCTTTTTGGAAGAAAGTATCACATCAACGTCCACCGACCGTCTCGACGCTGACCGAGGGTTCCCGCTGCTCCTTGGCGAGGCCAGAGGTAGGGGTAGCGTTCTTGCCGGAGAGAGCATTAGCGTAGCTCCATCCACCTCCGATGCCGAACCCGGCAGAGCCCCGCTTGCGAAGCCTGGCGGAGGATTGATCCTCCTCTTCCTCCATGTTGAACACAAAAGCGGGGTCCTCCTCATCGATCGGGGTCGTGTACCGCCCGGTGACGGAAGAGCTGATGGACCCGCTCGAGACATGGCGCTCCATGACCCGCTCCCGCTCCTTGCCGATGGGGCCGGCACCGTTGCTGGGGCCCCGGCCGGTGGCCGCCAAGGGGTGCAGGTGCGGGCTGGCGCTGCCGTCGTCGCCCAGACGGGTTCGCTGCAGCTGCTGGGTCAGCGCGGACATGGACTCGCTACCGGCACGAGATCCAATGGGGCGGGAGGACAAGCTGCCGTTGCCCATCTCGTTGGAAAGGACGGAGTTGCGCAGGGGGCTGCCGACGTGCCCAAAGGCTGAAGGGCCATGCTTGTGGAGCTCCTCCTCCTTCTGGCGTTGGAACAGAGGCCCCCAGCGGCTCGGGCTGGCTCCGGTGATGGGGCTACCGAACTTGGTCGCATTCTCGCTTCCGGGCTCGCCATCGATAGTCCGGAGGGAGCCCCGGCGGGCCTTCTCGGCAGGGGTCAAGAGATCCTGCAGGTTCTGGGGCACGTAGTCCTCCTCGAGGAAGGCGAACTCGGCCTCCCAATCGTGGTCGACGGTCGTTTTCGGCATGCTCGCGCTGAGCATCTTGGGCTTCGCGTAGCGGCTCGAGTGCATGGCCCGCTTTCCGTAGTACTCCTCGCCGGACATGGGCTGGCTGGGGGGACTGCTGGATGCGGTGACGTTGGCGGCGGCCAGGTATTCGCTTCCACCGAATGCAGAGGTGTGCAGCATCTTAAGCGTCTCGGAGGTTCGGGAATCCTTGGCGTTGTTCAGCGAAGGTGAAGGCGACTCGAGGCCGAACTTTGACGGGACGGACGAGGGCCAAGGACCGCCGGGGAAGAGGGCGGCGTTGGAGATGCCCTGGGAATCGAAGGAGGCTGGCAGGGGCGCGTCGAGGACGGACAAGCCCTTGGCGTTGATGGGCGAGAGGCCGAGGCCGAATCGGGACGCTTCGTCGTCGCGCGGGGAGCCGTAGTTCGAACCGGGGTGGGAGTAGGTGGTGTCGATGGTGGGCAGGCCATTCTCGACGCTGGGCTGGCGGCCCAGCTGGTGCTGCCGCTCATCACCGTAGGGGAAGGCGGAGCCGTACGAGGGGGCGCCCTCGCGGTAGAGACCCGAGGTGAGGGCGCTCGTCGGGTGGTATCCGGCAGCGGAGGTGGGGTTGATTCGGCCGCCGAGGGATATGGGAGAGGTGCCGATGGTGACGCCATTCTTGCCGTAGTTGATGCGGCGGCCGTCGGGAAGAACGTGGATATTAGCGCATTTCGGACCGAACTTGCAATTGCCCTGCGACGACGGTTAGAATGGCAACGGTGGAAGACGGAAGACATGGGTGATTGAATGTGACATGTCGCCGAGATGGCGGGCACGGGCGTAGAGGCAGGCGAATGGTCTGTGTGACCGAGGGGCAGAGCAAGATTGCGGAGGTAGGAGGGGCTGGGGGTGAGGGGGCCGCATGGGCGACATTTCGCGATGTTTTCCGCTCGTCGTGACGAGGCAACGCAACGCAACGCACCTTTGCAAAGTATTTGCAGATATTCTCGGCGGCAGCCCCTAGATCGTGAGAAAACGGACAGGCATTGCCGGCCTGGCAGGCGCCTTGACGAAAGAATTTGCATGGGACGTGGGAGGTATCTGTAGGGCAGAGGCGAGACAGGTCAGCCATGGACAGAGAAGAGAGACAGATAGACAGAGATAAAGACTGAGAAAGAGAGGTTGACGCAGACGGGGGAGGGGAGGAATGTTGCTCAAGGACGGGTGCGGTGCGACGTGTTGCAGAGGAAGCGAGACGGGGGCGGCGGCATTGAATGACGAGACAGCTGGCATGTCATGGCGGAGGGTCGATTTAGAGGGGCGAGGGTATCGTGAGGCGCCGTCGACGTTTGCAGACAATGCACCGTGCCATACACCGACACCAACACCGACCTCGTCACCGGGAACCTAGACAGAGACGAACAAGAGAGAGGACGAAAGAGAGCGGTGACATACTGGGTGGGCTGCGCGGGCCGTCAAACCTGTGAGCGGCGGCGACAGCGGCAGAGCCGGCGGCGGGGGACGCGACTGACGGCATCGGGCTCATCATGGGGCTGGAGTGGCCATTCTGGGATTGTGGTTGGTGCTGCTGCTGTGGCTGTTGCTGCTGTTGCTGCTGGTGCTGTAGGTTGAGGCTGCCATTGCGCGCATGGCGATAGTCGGAGCCGTTGGGCGAGGGCATCTTGGGGGGAGGAGGTCGACGACGACGACAACGACGACGACGATGATGTGGAGGAGGGAAGAGAGCGGCGGCGGTGGTGGTTATGGTGGACGGGAGGAAAGGTTGGACGAGGCACCGGTTGAAAAGTCGCGGGCTGCGCAGGCGGGACGAGAGGGGAAAAGTGGACGCCCTGTAGCAGCAGCAGGTGGTGGCGCCCGGGGGAGGGGAGGGGAGGGGGTCCAGTGCTAGGTGGTAATAGCGGGCGGACAGCGCTGTGGCCGGGCAGATTGATACGGGCAGGTAGGTGGAAGAACAGCGCACGCACTCAACTGACTGGCGCTGAGCTGTTGTCCTG